AGCACTGGCAGGCCTGAGGTGGATCCTGGTGTGTTGCAGCCAAGTGAGGTGGCCTTGGACAAGTCCCTTTTGCTCTGTGTCCCAGTGTGGCGTGGGGCGGGGGGAGGAAGTGCTGGTCAAAGTGATCTCTATGGGCACTTTGTCTTCTGACCTCTGCAGCTCTGTGACATGACCCAGTCTCTGCCCACAGCCCATTCTTGCTAAACAGACTCATGGCTCTTTTTTCTGGAGACCTCAGACTGGAAAAAAGGCAGGGAAGAAAACTGGTGTTGAGCATGCCTAGTGCTTTGATGCTTCTAATTCAGCCTTCTAATGTCCCTGAGCGATGAGCTGTACCACTTCCAGGTCAAAGATGAGGGAGCTGAGGCTCCTCATGTGAAGTTTTGGAGTGCTTTCTGAGGGACAGGGTGCTGCTTTCTCCAGGGTGTGTGTGGGGAGCCTCGAGGCTTCGAAACCACCTTGTATTGTTAAGGGGAGACATCTAGGGGGACCCTAGAGTCACAGGGTGGAACCTAACCTTTGCACTCCTGCCCCTGGCCTCATCAAGGACACAAGGGAGGATGAGGGGTTGGTCTGCCTGTGTAAGAAGGCCTAACCAGCTGCTTCTGTTTTGTTGCTCCCCTCTTCCCCCAGTTGGCTTTCTTGGAGCCTTCCCACTTTTCTGAGAGCCCCACCCTGATTACCTGTGGACTTGCACCTTGCCCAGGGAAGGCAGGCCAGTCTTTGTTGCCCTTGCTTGATACTGCTTGCCTGGTTCAGGTGTCTGGTTCATTGTCCACATTTACTTCCTGCTTGGCTCCCCTGTTAGCAGACTGCGGCACCCATGGCCTCTTCCCTACCCACCCCTCCCAATCCCAGGATTCACTGGACAGCATCTGTAACTCACATGAAATCTCCGTGCTCTGGCTTAAGCAGGTCACTGCATCTTCAGACCTCCACACTTACAGAGCAGCAGGGTTGGTGCATGTGTGCATATCTGTCTGTGCTTCTTCTCTAGGTTTTTTTTTTTTTTGAGAAAGTATCTTACTGTGTAGCTGTGGCTAGCCTGTAATTCAGGATGTAGACCAGGGTAGCCTTGAACTCAGAGATCCAGCTGCCTTTGCTTCCCAAGTACCACCAGGACCATCTCACAAGTCCTCTGTAGAAGACAGTTCAGACTTACTTTTTGTGAGAGTATCACTGTGTATCCCTGGTTGGCCTGAAGCTAACTGTGTAGACCAGGCTAGCCATAAACTTCTAGGTAATAATTCTCTTGCCCCTGCCTCTCATGTGCTGAGATTACAAGAGTGAGTTGGCACCCAGCTCCTGGCTACTCTTCCATAGAGACAAGCCAGATGGCATTTATTTATGTTTATGCTTTGGGTTTGTTTGGTTTTTGTTGTTGTTGTGTTTTTGTTTTTGTTTTTTTTTCAAGACAGGGTTTCTCTGTGTAGCCCTGGCTGTTCTGGAACTTACTCTGTAGCCCAGACTGGCCTCACACTCACAGAGATCCACCTGCCCCTGCCTCCTAAGTACTGGGATTAAAGGTGTGGTCACCACCATTATGTTTATGTTTAAGCTTTGTTTTATCTCTTTTTGTTCTCCACCCTCTGTTGTGTGGTCGAGCACTCGGTAGGAGCGTGCTGTTGGCAGTGTCTCCTCACTTTTCAGGCACAAATCATTCCCATAAGGCAGGCATTTATTTTTAAGCAAACAGTTACTCTGTGCCAGATGGTGTTCATGCATTATCTCATTTAACCCACTCAGCGGCCACATGGCTCTGCCCATCCAGTAACAACAGCATCTCTCGTTTGCTGAGCATTCTCCGTGGGGCGTCTTATCCTCACACCCACCTCCAAGGAACAGTTTCTCTCCCTGCTTGTCAGGTCAGGGAGCTGAGGCGTGGACGGGTTAGGAACATGGAGCTGTTGAGGTAGAACAGGGACTTCAGACATGAATGGGTTAACTATGAACTGCTATTTTTCTGAAGTTCTCCCACGACAATTCATCAGTGCCCTCATTTGCCCAGTAGGGAAACTGAGGCCCTGCACACCATCATCTCCAGCCTTTGTGAAGCTCATGAGGCCTAGGAGCCCTAGCAGGAAGGAATATGTGACCTACTGGTCATAACCTGTTTTCCTTAACAAAGTGTCTCCTATTCCCCCAACCTGGGGGGTCTCTGGAATCACCTTCAGTTACATTGTTCAGGACCTCATGGAGACAGACCTGTACAAGCTGCTTAAGAGCCAGCAACTGAGCAATGACCACATCTGCTACTTCCTCTACCAGATCCTTCGGGGCCTCAAGTACATACACTCAGCCAATGTGCTCCATCGGGATCTGAAGCCCTCCAACCTGCTTATCAACACCACCTGCGACCTTAAGGTCAGCCACCGAATGCCTGCCTTTCCTGCCCCGGGTCTGGGGCATGACCGGGAGAAGTATCCTTGGTGCATGGCAAGCAAGAACAACATAGGCAGGGCAGGGATGCTTCCTGGACTGTGGAGGCCTTAGGCACCTAACTCAGTGGCCTGGGTTTGATTCCAGATCTGTGATTTTGGCCTGGCCCGGATTGCTGACCCTGAGCATGATCACACTGGCTTTCTGACAGAGTATGTGGCCACACGCTGGTACCGAGCACCAGAGATCATGCTTAACTCCAAGGTAGGAGAGCTGCCCACTGTCGCAAGGAAGTCCTAGAGCTATCCCTGGGCCTTGGCACAATCCTTCTGACCCTTGGGCTCTGGCGAGATGTAGAGATTAGAGCTTTCCTAGCCTCTGTTCTATGCCCTTTGCTTGGTGTTGGATCTAATTTGGATGTAGTGCTTGGCGCAGATACCAGGAAGGGCACTGATAAGGCTGACCAGAGAGTTCAGCACATTCTCCTCCCCAGGGCTACACCAAATCCATCGACATCTGGTCTGTGGGCTGCATTCTGGCTGAGATGCTCTCCAACCGACCCATCTTCCCCGGCAAGCACTACCTGGACCAGCTCAACCACATTCTAGGTGGGAGTTCCTGGCAGGCTCAAAGGGATGGGAATTAGCTTATCAGAGATGACATTTCTGGAGGGTGAGATTGGAGTACCACATGTGGAGCCTCTCCAGCATCTCATGGTATTTCTGTAAAGTGTTCTTTGCCCATTTGAAAGATGGGAAAGGCAAGACTTAGCCCTACAGCTAAGGAAGACTGCAGTCAGGGCTTGAGCCCAGGACTCCCTGGTCCTTAAGTTCTTTGCTCTTCGTCACTGCCCCAGTGGGTAGGTAGGTGAGGAGGTGGTTGCAGGTGGCTGGGTTTGGGTTCCCGTTCTTGCTTCCTGACCTGTTTCCAGAAAGAGGACTTGATGTCTCAGCAAGACAACTGGTTTGTCCACAGGTATCTTGGGCTCCCCATCCCAGGAGGACCTTAATTGTATCATCAACATGAAGGCTCGAAACTACCTACAGTCTCTGCCCTCTAAAACTAAGGTGGCATGGGCCAAGCTTTTTCCCAAATCTGACTGCAAAGGTGAGAGAGACAAAGGCCTGGACTGGGGGTGGCTGAAAGCCAGCAGCAAAGGCCTGCCTCAGTAAATAGGCCCTGGAAAAGTGAAGCCTATGGGGAGCCCCTTCAGCCTTCCTGACTGCTGCCCCTGCCTTCCTTCCCTTAGCCCTCGACCTGCTGGACCGGATGTTGACCTTCAACCCCAACAAGCGCATCACAGTAGAGGAGGCACTGGCTCACCCGTACCTGGAACAGTACTATGACCCGACAGATGAGCCAGTGGCTGAGGAACCCTTCACTTTTGACATGGAGCTGGATGACCTCCCCAAGGAGAGGCTGAAGGAACTGATCTTCCAAGAGACAGCCCGCTTCCAGCCCGGGGCACCCGAGGCCCCCTAACAGCAACAGACATCCCTGTCCCCGTAGACCTGGTGAGTGGCTCTCGATGCCCTCGAACAGCCACACCCTGACCAGAGGCTCCCCAGCCTGGGTGCCTCTTTACCCACATGTATGGTAGCAACAGAGGGGCCGGGGCCTGCTTGTCGTCTGTGGCCCTGTCCTTGGTAAACTGCTTACGCTCTAGCCCTGCCCATCCCTACTGTCACCAGCATCCACTGGAGACCCACAAAGGTGAAGGGCCCTCCCCCGTGAAGCCACCCCAGGGTTAGGGGTGGATTATACCATTATGACTTTGAGAGCTGCAACCCCAGTGGCACTTGGTGGTGCTGCTGTTATTGACTGCAGACTAGGAAGCCAAGACCCACAGGCGGACCAAAGGCACTGTCAGGCCCAGTGTCCCCCAGCTGACAGTTCTTTTCTCTTTCTTCCTTCAGGTCCTGCTCCTACCTGCTCCTTCTCTGCAGATCGTTAGAAAATGAACTTTGCTCAACCCAGACCCTGGCAGCCCAGGCTGGACCAAGGGTGGGCCTGGCTACCTTCTTTCACTTTGCTGGGGTCTCCCAGGCAGGCTCCTTTCACTCCAATTCCCTTCCCCCTCTCCCCAGGGGCCTCAGTGGTGAGGTGGCCCCAGAGCTGATCTCTGCTGCTCTGCCTTTATCTACCCCTGCTGGCCCTGACTCTGGCAGACCATTCTGGAATGGAAGGGCTATGACTGCCCTGGGACCTATGCTACAGAGGGGTGGAGGGCACTGAGTAGGGACTCAGGCTAAGCTCTGCCCTACTCATCTCGGAACCCCACCCTATTTTCCCCGAAGGAACATCCCTAAGTCTCAAGGGCTAGTTTCCCTGAGGAGCCAGGCCCAGGCCAACCCTTCTCCCTCTCAAAGCTGCCACATGTAACGCCCTTGCTGCTTCTGTGTGTGGGTTATTGGAAGTGGAGGTGAGCCCTCCCCACCTCCCTGTGCCTGTATCTAATATATAAATATAGAGATGTGTATATGGATGACCCGTCTCTGTCTCTGTGTGCCGACGAGACCCCCAGCGTGCCGCTCCCACTGCCCCCTGCCCCCAGCTATGGCCTTCCATGGCCCTGTGGTCTTTGACTGCAACTGGCAGGGATGACAATGGGTTACAAGGAGTTCCAGGCCCCTGGAAAGGGATCAGTTTTCCTTTAGTCACTGTCTCTCATAACAGCTTCCTGTTTAACTGGCTGGGATGACATGCTGTGATTCAGGGGCACCCTCAAATTCCTGGGAAGTGGCAAAGAGTTACAGGTCCTGACCATAAGCATCCACGGGAGACAGGGAGGTCTAAAAAATGGTGAGGGGAGTTGCTTAGCATGCCCCCCCCACACACACATACATGGTCAAGCACAGAAGGGGGTGTTAGGATCTTTGAAAGGTCTGGGGACATGAAGCCCAGGGCTGCCTGCCTGGATTCCTGTGCCTGCCCCAGCCCTGGGGCATACTGCAATCTGGCCAAGTGCCAGTAGCATAGCAGCAGGCTCAGCAGGTCCTGGGGCGTGGTACTGCCCAACAGTGGAGCCAGCCTATACTGGCTCGGCAGCAGGCAGCAGCAGGCAGCAGAGCCCTTTGGGACTGGAGAGACTGTACTTGTGGACGTCTGCTGTGGGAGTGAGGCTATGATCCCCATCCTGTACTTGGTTCTGCCCACCCTGGGCATCTATATCATGCTCTCCATCTTCTTCTTACGCCGACCTCATCTGCTGCACACAGCCTGGGCTCCTACCTTCCCTATCTGCCTGGCTGCCCACCGTGGAGGTGAGCTGAGTCAGGGAGGCGGGAGGGGCTGGCAGCCGCTTGGGGTGGGGTGAGCCTAAGAAGGCAGGTGCCGTAGTGGGCAGCACATAGTGGAGGCACAAGGTGTGAGTGGATGCAAAAAGCAGAGGTAAGGAGGGTCACGGGGCCCTGAAGGACATGGGCGGGGAAGGAGGGGCCAGTACAACTCGGCTGATGGGAAGAGAGGAACCCTGAACCAAGTGGGAAACCATCAAGAAGAAAGGAAGGTCAGACCAGGCCGCAGGGACCACCCTAACTGCCTCATACAGGGTCTGGAGAGCGACTGGAGAATACCATGGAGGCTATAAAGAAGTAAGTCCAATGTGTAAGGTTGTGGGTCAGCTCCACAGGGCAGCCAAGGTGCTATTTATTCACTTCCTAATTTGGAATCGTGCAGGTGGTGTCACATGTCCCGCCGTAGATTCTGTCCCAGTGTCTCCCCTCCGATACCTGCCCTGGTCCTTCCCTGTTCTCTTCCCCCACCCATTGTTGCTCCCATAGCTCCATGGCCCAGCGAGCAGATATCTTGGAACTCGACTGCCAGCTCACACGGGATGGCGTGGTGGTAGTATCACACGACAAGAACCTGTCCCGCCAGTCAGGCCTCAATAAGGATGTAGACAGCCTGGACTTCAAGGTGAGCTTTGCAGTCCCTCCTACCAAATGTTGACATACTTGCACGCCCGTATCCTGATGGCACTTCTCCACAGGAACTGCCCCTCTACAAAGAAGAACTGGAGATTTATTTCTCCCCAGGTACGATGTGTACAGCCAGCTTTGTACTGCTTAGCTACCTTCTCATATACTCTAACTAAAGTCCCCCCTCCAGATGGTCTATCCTACTCTGACCCCAGCTTTTGTGACCTATTGCCAGGCCATTTTGCCCACGGGTCAGATCGGCACATGATAAGATTGGAGGATGTGTTCCAGAAATTTCCAAGGATGCCCACGATTGTGGAGATCAAAGAAAAAAATGAAGAGCTCATCCACAAGGTGGTACTGAAGCCAGGCAGGTGAGGGCAGGCCCAAGAGAGCTTCCCTTACTCCTGTCATTCCCATGCTAGGTAGCCAACCTGGCTAGAAGCTTTGACCGCAGTGAGATCACTATCTGGGCTTCAGAGAAGAACTCGATCATGAAGAAGTGCAAGGCCGCCGTGAGTCCTTCTTCCTCTGCTATGGGGCTAGAAACTACCCCAGCCCAAGGAGCCTATGCTAGAGGGGCCCAATAGGGCCCCAGGAACTAGCTTTGAGCGAGTTCCTAAGAATAGGATTTCCAGAAGTAGGACAGCGTCACCACGTGCGCTGGCCTGGTGTTACCATGAGACCAGCTGTAGGGAACCCCCAGTACTGGCTGTGTTGGTCAGTTGCTACTGTAACAGAACTTCCAGAAACAACTCATGGCTCACAGTTCCATAGATCTTAACCCATAGTCACTTTGGCCCAATTGCTAGAGGTAGAGACAGCATGAGAAACAGCTGCTCACTAATGACAGCTGAGGATGGAAGACGATGCCTGGGCTGGCCTCTTCCTTCTTCCCCTTTTGCTGGATTCACACTCCTAGCCTACAGAGATGGTGCTGCCTGCATTCAGGGTGGGTTTCCTCCCTCTCAGCTAATTCTGTGGAAACATCCTCAGGTAGGCATGCCCTCATGTGTTTCAACAAACTCCAGGGTTACTACTTCTTGATCAAGTTGACAGAATTACCATTACACTGTTCAGGGTGTGGCTTTCACATCCAACACCGATCCCCTCAGCCCATACCAGGGCTCTGCTGTCCCAGGCACAATGGGTCTCACTCTCCCCTTGCCACCCAGAACCCCGAGATGCCAACGGCCTTCACAATACTGAGATCAATATGGATACTGCTGCTCTACTACCTGGGGCTGCTGCCTTTTGTCTCCATACCTGAGAAGTTTTTCTTCTGCTTCCTGCCCACCATCATCAACAGGTACCAGTACTGAGATGAGGCTTGGGAACACCCTGCTCAGGCCACATTGCCCAGGATCTGTGTGGAGGAAGACCCAGGATCCCCAGTTCCCTACTTCCCTCAGCGTCCCCAAGATGCTTTAAAGATTTTATTGTGTGTGTGTGTGTGTGTGTGTGTGTGTGTGTGTGTGTGTATGCGCACGCGCCATGGTGTGTATATGGAAGCCAGAGACATCATTCTTTTTGCCTTTATGTAGGTTGCAGGGATTGGACTCAGGTTGCTAGGCTTTCATGGCAAGAGTCTTTAGCCACTAAGCTAGTGTTTCTCAACCTGTGGGTCAAGACCCCTTTTGGGGAATCAAAGAATTCTTTCACAGGGGTAGCCTAAGACCATCAGAAAACATAGATATTTACATTTCAATTCATAACAATAGCAAAATTACAGCTAGGAAGTAGTGATGAAATAATTTTATGGTTGGAGTCATCACATTATGAAGAATTGTATTAAAGGGTCCCAAGTGTTAGGAAAGTTGAGAATCACTGCTCTAAGCAATCGATAAGTCCTGATCTTGTTTGTTTGTTTTTTAAATTTATTTATTTTTTATTTTTCGTTTTTTTCGAGACAGGCTTTCTCTGTATTGTTTTGGAGGCTGTCCTGGAACTCACTCTGTAGAGCAGGCTGGCCTCGAACTTACAGAGATCCACCTGCCTCTGCCTCCCGAGTACTGGGATTGAAGGCACCACCAATGCCCGGCACTCCTCAGCCATCCTTTAAAAACCCTCCCAGACAAAAACAAAAAACAAAAAACAAAAAAACCCCTCCCAGACTCAACCAGGAGGACCCGGTGGTGTCCAGTTCTGGAATCAAGCTGGTGCCAGGCCCACCACTGATGTACTTTTGACCTCCAGTGTGTCCCAGTGTCTAAGGCTCAGTTTGCTGTCCTTAAGGCAGGAAAGGGACAAGTTCTTAAGCCAATGACTTGACACAGTAGGCTCACACTGCCTGTGGGCTGAGTTATACCTCTAGGCAACTTCATAGTTTGTTTCTTCAGGCTGGACCAGGATTACATTGGGCAAGGAGTCATTACCACCCCACCCCTGTGACAGGAAGGTGGGGGGACAGACAGACGGACACTCAAGACATGACACACCACAGAGCTGACCCTGCTGCTTCTCTCCACAGAACTTACTTCCCATTTCCCTGTGGGTGGATGAACCAGCTGTCAGCTGTGGTTACAAAATGGTGAGGTGCGCAGGGTGGAGTGCCCACAGGGACCTGCCACTGCCCTTCTCCTTTGTCCCTCTCACCATTCTAACCCCCCAGGATCATCATGAGGAAAAGTCTGATCCAACATTTACGGGACCGCGGGGTGCAGGTGAGACCTCGACCACTCCCCTAGCGAAGAGCTGCTTCCCAGTATATTCCTGTAGTACAGTTCCCATCATTCTGTGCTGCGGAGGTGGGTCATTTAGGCAGGCTCTCACCTGAGTCTCTGTTTCTTTGCCTATAAAATGCAGAGAATGAGTCAAGCACTGGTGGCTCACGCCTTTAATCCCAGCACTCGGGAGGGAGAGGCAGGCGGATCTCTGTGAGTTCGAGGCCAGCCTGCTCTACAGAGTGAGTTCTCAAACAACCAGGGCTACACAGAGAAATCCTACCTTGAACCCCGCTTCCCCTCAACCCCCCCAATGCAGAGAATGCTATCTGTAGCTCTTTTGGGTGTGTACTTGGTACTTAATCAGGGGCTGATAAGCATTAGCCACTGCTCATTCTTTTTTTGTTTTGCTTTTTGGTTTTTCGAGACAGGGTTTCTCTGTGGCTTTGGAGGCTGTCCTGGAACTAGCTCTTGTAGACTAGGCTGGTCTCGAACTCACAGAGATCCGCCTGCCTCTGCCTCCCGAGTGCTGGGATTAAAGGCATGCGTCACCACTGCCCGGCTTTGTTTTGTTTTTTGAGACAGGGTTTCTCTGTGTAACAGCTCTGATTGTCCTGGAACTCGCTCAGTAGATCAGGCTGACCTCAAACTCACCGAGATCCACGTGCCTCTGCCTCTCCAGGTGTGTGCTACCACTGCCCTGGTGGCACTGGTCATACTTGGGGCCTGCTGGGAAGGTGCTGGGAACCCAGGCCCAGTCCACCCTGTTGCTCTGCCTTGATCAGTGGTCTACAGGAATTGTGAAGGAATTTTGGTTTGGGTTTTGGTGGGGTTTTTTCTGTTCTGTGTAATAAGTTATGTGTAGCAAGTGTTTTGCCTACATATATATCTGGCCTGGTGTTACAGGCAGAAGATGGTGTCAGATCCCTTGAAGCCGGGATTACAGATAGTTTTGAGCTGTCATGTGGATACTGAAATCAAATCTGGCTCCTCTGGAATAGGAGCAAATGCTGAACCATTTCACTGGCGCCCTTTTTGTTGTTGTTTTGTTTTGAGGCAGGGTGTTATCATATAACTTGTGCTATGTAGACCAAGCTGGCCTCAGACTCAGACTCTGTCTCTTGAGTGCTGGGATTAAAGGCATGTGCCACTGTGCCTGGCTATGATTTTGTTTTGTTGGCTTGTTTTCATTTTTTCATTGTTTTATTTTATGTGTCTGAGTGTTTTGCATGCACATATATCTGTGTACCACACCTGTGCCTAGTACCCAAAGAGGCCAGAAGAGGGCATCAGACCCCCCTGGAAATGTAGTTACGAATGGCTGACCCGCCCTGTGTGTGCTGGAAAGCCAAGCAAGGACCTCTGGAAAAGCAACCAGTGCTCTTTAACCACTGAGCTATCTCTCCAGTCCCTGGTTTTTTATGTAGGCCAGGCCAGCCTCAAGCTCAGGGCAATCTTCCTGCCCCTAATGAGTTGCAGGCATAAACCACTGTGCCTGGCTTTGGACATTAAATCAGCCTCATTGAGATGGTTCCACACATTTACCTGGGATGAGAGCTTCCCATCAAACATGGGGGAAGGAAATGAACTTGTCAACTCCACATGGGATGTGATATCACCACTAAGGACAGGAGCCATGGACAGAGGGAGGTTGGATCAGTCAGAAGAAGGATGGGGGAAGACAGCACCTTGGGAGAGGACATTACAGGAAGGCATCTACAGGCCTATAGCTTGAGAACCAAGAGGCTGGGCTCAGGCTGGGTGGGTGCTGTAGGCTAAGGGCAGTGGAGGTCATTTAGACCCATGGGTCTCCTGTGACAGGATCAGGATGTTCAGCACCCAGGAGGGAAGCTTCTAAAGGTCTGCCCCAGGAAGCCCGATCCAGATAAATTCATAGAGTAAGACTCACTTGATCTACAGCATAGCAACCATGTGGTAGTGGGACAGAAGGAAAGTGACAACAGTGGGGACAGATGGAACAGTTAACACAAGAGAGGCCAGGCTTTTTGACTACTGCCTGTGTCTGGTGCCAGTGAGGGACTAGGAAGAGCAGCTTTCTCTTACCAGCCCACTCTCGTCTCTGACCTCCACATGTTTAAAGATGGGACCCTTGTCTGTGACACTAAGACATCCAGAGATCCAGTGAGCTTCCTGGAATAAAAATGTCAGCCAGGTGCAGAGGCTCACACGCATAATACCTGGGAAACAGGCAGGAAGACAGTGAGTTCTAGACCAGCGTGGGATAAATAAATAATACTCCCTGCCTCAAAAGAACAAAACAACAAAACGCAGGTCAACAAGGAGGGCAGTACAATGCTTCAGTGGCTAAAGGCTTGTGCTGTCAAACCTGGTGACCTGAGTTTGACCTGCTACCCCTAAGAGCTGTCCTCTGACCCACACACTTGGTATGTGTACACCTGCCCCCACATAAATCAACATCCAATATTTGGGGGGGTATTTCAAGACAGGGTTTCTCTGTGGCTTTGGAGGCTGTCCTAGAACTAGCTCTTGTAGATCAGGCAGGTCTCAAACTCCAGAGATCCACCTGCCTCTGCCTCCTGAGTACTGGCATGATCCAGTTTTTTTTTTTTTTAATTAAAAACCAATGGCTGAGATGTGGCCCAGTTGGTAGGGTGCTTGCCTAGGAGCCACAAAGACCTGGGTTCAGTCACTAGCACCAGGGAAAAAATGAGGTAATTGTGGTGATATCATGCTTATGCAAATAAAGCTTGTCTGAAGATCAGAGAATGGAGCTTGCCACTAGCCAACCACAGAGGTCTGGAGGTCTGCACAGACAGACAGGAAGTGAGATGACTGGGCACAGACAGGGTATAAGTGGGAAGAGACAGGAACTCGGCTCTTGAATTTTCCACTGGGAAGCTAATGAGGTAAAACGTGGCCTTGGCTTGTTCCTTCTTCTCTCTGATCTCACTCCATTTACAGGTAATGGGACTAGCAGATGGCTAATCGGTTGAGAACACTTGCTGCTCTTCAAGAGGACCTGAGTTTGGTTCCCAGCACCCATAATCATCAGTTTATAATCACTTGTAACTCCAGTTCCAAGGGTCAGATGGCCTCTTCTGACCTCTGTTGGTACACAAACATACATGTAGACAAAACACTCGTACCTAAAATAATAAGTAAACCAGCCGGGCATTGGTGGCGCACGCCTTTAATCCCAGCACTCGGGAGGCAGAGGCCAGCCTGGTCTACAGAGCCGATTCCAGGACAGCCTCCAAAGCCACATAGAAACCCTGTCTCGAAAAACCAAAAAAAAAAAATAATAATAATAATAATAAGTAAACCTTTTAAAAAATTTAAACAAATACAGATAAATCATAAAAAGAACAACAACAAAAAACAAAACTAAAACAATAAGCACAGTTGTAACACCTGTAACCTGAGCACTTGGGACATGGAGGCAGAAGAACAGGTGTTTGAGGTCATCACCAGCTACACTGAGAGTTTGGGACCAGCTTGGTTACAGGAGACCCTAACAGAGAGAAGAGATGAGATTGTAGAGAATTGTAAAACAATTAGTAATGGGCTGTTTAGTATTTACTTAGAGTGCCATGTGGTGGTCAGTAAGTCACAGGGCTGGGTTCTTTCCTCCTGTGGATCAGCACAGGCCTTCAGGTGCCTTTATGTGCTGAGTCATCACTGGATTGTGTGTTTTGTTTTTGTTTTGCGGTACTGGGGATCAAACTCAGGGCTTTGCACAATGCCAGGCCAGCATTATACCATTTAGCAACATCCCTGGCTCTTGGGTTGCTTATTTATTTTTTTGTTTTTTTTTTCAGAGACATAGTTTATGTGTGTCTCCCTGGCTGACCTGGAACTCACTATGTAGACCAGGCTGGCCTGGAATTCATAGAGATCCACCTGCCTCTGCCTCTGCCTCCTGAGTGCTGAATCTGCCCTTAACTTTAAGTTCATGCACTTAAGTATTTATTTACTTTTGCTGGGGGTCTTGCTATCTAACTCTGGCTGGCCACCTACTCTATGTAGCCCAGATGACCTCAGAATCCTCCACCCTCTTGCCTCAGCCTTGCAAGTGCAGGGTTATAGATATGCACTGTATCACTTGGTTCTTTTTTTTTTTTTTTTTTTTTTTTTTGGTTTTTCAAGACAGGGTTTCTCTGTATTGTTTTGGAGACTGTCCTGGAACTAGCTCTGTAGACCAGGCTGGCCTCGAACTCACAGAGATCCGCCTGCCTCTGCCTCCCAAGTGCTGGGATTAAAGGCGTGCGCCACCAACGCCCGGCAACACTTGGCTCTAAATCATACAATTTAAGTTTTGATAATAGCTGTGGGGTTTTTGCCTTGATTTGTTTGTTTGTTTGTTGAGACAGAATTTCTCTGTGTAGCCCTGACTGTCCTGAAACTCACTCTGTAGACCAGGCTGGCCTCAGAGACCTGCCTGCCTCTGCCTCCCAGGTGCTGGAATTAAAGGCTAGTGGTACAACTGTCCTTCGATAATAGCTGTGTTTACGAACAGTCTGAAAATCCCTGAAAAGGCAATCACCAGCCCCAGCTCACCACGGCTGGGAGGGCTGTGCCGAAGAAGGTGTCGCCTCCCAGAGAGGTTAACGTGAACACTAACCTGGCCCTTCTTTCCTGCTCAGGTGCTGTTCTGGTGCCTTAACGAAGAGTCTGATTTTGAAGTGGCCTTCAACCTGGGGGCCAGTGGCGTCATGACAGATTTCCCCACAGCCCTGAGACACTACCTTGACAAGAAGGAAGAACCAAGGGCCCCTGCTTCCTCAACCTGAGGCCCTGTCCTCTCTTTCTCCTTAAGAAAAATAAATATTTTCTTGTCAGTAACAGTTCATGGATGGAGGAGTTGGAGGGTCAATTCTGGATTATAAAGATGGGGACTTAATTCAGTGATGTTGTGCTTACACACCATGAATGCAACTCTGGGTTTAATGCCTATTGCATGGGAGGGCACACGACATCTTTGAAGAGATCACGAAAAGCTCAGCCGTTAAAGACTAGGCTCACAAACAAAAATATAAGAAAAGCCAGGATGAGCTGGGTCTAGTGATGAACATCTTTAACCTCAGCACTTGAGAGGCACAGGCAGGCGAATCTCTGAGTTAGATGCCAGGGCTACAAAGTGAGAACACCCCCCCCCCCCCGCAAATTCTGGGAGCCTAATCAAGCTGGCCCCCTTGTCCCACTACATTCCAGACCCAGTAGAGTGGCAGTACACCCTCCACTCTGAAGCATGCTAACCCAGGTGTCCTGGCCCCAGAGATCCATAGAAGATCATTTTCCTGAAGCCATTAAGAGAGCCAGGCATACAGGGGACTTGATTTCTCTCACATTGCTGCTGTTCGTTTCCTTACACACTGGGCTGCAGCAGGCAGGCATGGGTTAGCTCACAGGCTCCCCCGCTGTATCAACTGTCCACTTTCTGGCCTCCAGCACTGGGACCTAACTCATTTAATGAATAATCCCAATGCAGTACTTTTCAGGCCTGCTGGGTGCTGGTCTCTGCAGTGAACACAAGTCTACGTATGCCAGACGCATGTTTAAACAGACATTTACACTGGGGTCAGACCTCCAGAATCCTGGACGCTGGGCATACCAGAGGATGCCTGGAGCGGATGATGCTCAGCAGTAGAGACTGGCTCCTAAAGCTTTGGTTCCTGGTAGTTTACTAGCAAAACGACACCTTTAGCCCTTCCCTTCTAAGGGTTTGTTCCACGTGTTTGGGAAAAGTGAGAATTCCAACTTTGACTCTTACCATCTGGATAATCTCTGGAGAGGATCTTCTCTCCAAACCTCAGAACCTGGTCATATGGAGAAACTACGGGATTGTGGCAGGGTTACCAGACTGGCCAGTGGATAAAAGAAGACCATTACCACTATTTCTCGAGGGTGTGCATACAGACACCACCTCCTATTAACCCCACGTCAGATAGGAATGCTTGTCTTTTCGCGCACCGTGGGTAGGTAAAGGCGCAATCGGGCCCGGGCACAGACTGGCCTCCGGGCTAGGCTGCGAGTCGCAGCCGCATTTCCGGGCGAGCAGGCAATCCGAAGCCGGGAGCAGGGGGAAGGGCAGCTCGGCCTGCCTGCGCTGGCCGCCGTGTGACGCGCCCCCTCATTTGCATGCGGTACTCCGATTGGCTACGGCGGCCGCCGGGACAGGAGGCCGGCCCCCTCCCCCCTCCCGCCGCAGCCTCGGCAGCAGCTGGTCTCGGTGTAAACAAGTCGAGGCGGCTGCGAACCGGGCCGGGGGGGGACGGCGCCCATCAGGAGCGCCCCCCACTCCCAGGCCAGGCCACCCCGCGGATCGGGCCCTCCACGCGCCCAGGCGAGGTGAGGTCTGCACCGACGTCGCTACGCGTCGCCCCCGCCCCGCAAGCGAGGACTGCCCCTTCCCCCGCGCGCGCCCCCACCCCCTCGCCCCAGGTGAGCCCCGGGGTCTCAGGTAAGGCTTGGCGATGCAGGTAAGATCCCCTCGGCGGAGATGAGGCTCAGCGCCTCCAGGTAAAAGCCCCTCCTCTCCCTAGGGGACCCTCCTCCTATGGGGAGGCCTTCTGCCTCCTCCAGGTGTGAGACCCTTTCCCCAAGCGAACTCCATGTACCCCACATTTGCCCTGCCCCTAGTCCACGTAGAGTCCCAAGGACCAGTCAGTTCTTTATCCCCCCATACTCCCTCGAAACTGAAAACTGGCAGCCCATCCACTCTGAAGCCCCTTCCCGTTTCAGATGCCAGCTCAGCAGGGGTGAGGCCAGAAGCAGGTGGGTGACTCACCTGGAGCTCCTCCTAGCCTCAGTTTACCCGTTGATGCAACCCGAGGCCTCCTCAGTGAGTCAAAACTGAGATGACTCTGGTCCCTGGTGAGACTGCTGGCTCTAGGGAATGGAGAGAGCAGCCAAGTGTGACAGAGTCCCCATAGTTCTGGGCTTGCCTACATATGTGTGGCCTTGGTCCTGACAGTCCGTCTCTCCTCCCTGACAGGCACTGGGCTCCCTCTGCTCCCCGTGGGCCGCTCCCCGCGTGGGGCCACTGCCCTTGGCCCCCGCCATGGTGCGGATTTCAAAGCCCAAGACGTTTCAGGCCTACTTGGATGATTGTCACCGGAGGTATAGCTGTGCCCACTGCCGTGCTCACCTGGCCAACCACGACGACCTCATCTCCAAGGTAAGCAGGCCACATCTGAGTCTAGGATGGCAATAGGCTGCCTGGCAACTCCCCACCGATAGCCTAACCCCTCCTCTCGTCTTCCCACCACCCTCCAGTCCTTCCAGGGCAGTCAGGGCCGTGCCTACCTCTTCAACTCTGTGTGAGTATTCACCTCCTTCCTTTCTTTTCCTGACCTCTGTTGTGACCTGTGACCCCTGGCATCAAGCCGAGATTCCCAGAGTCCCTTGTTTCAGACAGGAAGCCACGATCAGGCCTCTCGGTAGAGGCTAAGAACAGACACTGACCATATCAGCTAGTGGGGGCTCTGGGCTGCTAAGACCCTCCCTGGGACACCCTTTGTCCCCACAGGGTGAATGTGGGCTGCGGGCCAGCAGAGGAGCGGGTGCTGCTGACAGGTCTTCATGCTGTCGCTGACATCCACTGCGAGAACTGCAAGACCACCTTGGGCTGGAAATATGTGAGTTCATGATCTCTGACCCCAGGCTGGCTAACTTCACACTCCTTCTTCCTGGAAAGCATATACCTTTCAACGTAGAACTGGCCCAGCACAGCAAACCAGGCTGTTTTTCCCCATGGACTGGCGTTGGTCCCTTGCATTCCACAGAGCTTTGAGGGTGTTGCTCTTCTAGTGCCCTGTCCTGGAGATGAAGAGCCAGTAGAGTCAGCGTGTATTGAATGCTTATGTACCACGCACATGAACACACTTGGCCTATAGTCTCTCATTCAGTCCTTACAATGGTTCTGATGGCAGAGTCTATTCGAGAAGACAGGGAGGTCTGAAGACGTTAGGGCATTTGCCCAAGATCACAGGACTAAGACCCTGCAGCAACGTGGAAATTAGGTCCACAGATCTCCTTTGCACAGCTCACATTGCTTCTGATGCTATCTAGCATCTGATTTCACAACCTCAAGTCTCATTTCCTTATCTGGCGTTGGAGCATAAAGGTAGTACCTGGTGTGGAAGATCTTTATCTGTTGTGGAAGATCTTTATGAGGATCAGATTAGATGTAGCTAGCGCAGGGGATGTTTGGGGAAATGTACAAGGAATGGACAAGACATTACTCGGAGTGGCTCTTGTGAGCTGGGTGCCCAGGCAGAGACAGACAGTCCTAACCTTGACTTACATTTGGCCCTGCCACAAATTTTCTGTGTCCATGCACAGGTGGCTTGGCCACTCTAAAATTCCCAAAAATATGGCCTAGACCAGAGGTTAAAATCTCCAAATTTTGGTACTGGAGAGATGGCTCAGAGGTTAAGAGCCCTGGCTGCTCTTCCACAGGTCCTGAGTTCAATTCCCAGCAACTACATGGTGGCTCACAGCCATCTACAATTCAATCTGGTACCCTCTTCCGGCATGTATGCAGAATACTGTATATGTAATAAATAAATCTTTTTTAAAAAGATGTACATTCAGATAGAGCACTTATATACATAAAATCAACAAATCTTTAAAAAAAAACAAAACTCAAATGTCAGCTGAGCAGAGGTGGCACTCAAGAGACAAAGGCAGGCAGATCTCTATGAGTTCAAGGCCAGCTTGGTCTACAGAATGAGTTCCAGGGCTACACAGAGAAACCCTGTCTTGAAAAAAACAAACTTGAATGTCAGCAGGATGTGGTGGTATAGGGCTTTAATCCAAGCACTCAGGAGGCAGAGGCAGGTGATCTCTGAGTTCTAAGCCCACTAGTATTTATAGTAAGTTCCAAGACAGCTGGGGCTACATAGACCCTTTCTCAAAAAACAAAAACCCTCAAATGTCCGGAAAGCCAAGCATCTACTGTGGATGTGTAAATGGGTAGCATAGATTTAGGCTGGGGCAAAATGGAGTGAGTGTGTATTTATAGTTTGGTATGTAAGTTTTATTGCTTTTTTAATATGGTGTTCATATTAAATCCAGGCCCTTCCACATGCTAAGCATACCCAACCCCTAAAGTTATTTATATTAAGCTCTCTTCTATCTAAACAAAACTACCTGTAGGCTGAAATGGCCCTTAGGCCACCAGTTTGCAATCCTTGGACTATGAAGTCTTCTAGGTATTTCCATATCCTCCATGTTGGAACGGTCATAAATGTTCAACATTCTGTTCCTGGTAAGAAACAGTTATGTGTTTGTGAGCAGGTAGCCAGACTTCTCTGGGCCACAGTTTTTTCATATATAAAACAAGACAAATCATATGCATTTACCAGCCCCATTGCCTAGTGGTAAAAGTCTTGTCCGTGGATGGCAGCCCTTTCTCTCCTTTCAGGAGCAAGCCTTTGAGAGCAGCCAGAAATACAAAGAGGGGAAGTACATCATTGAACTCAACCACATGATCAAAGACAACGGCTGGGACTGATCTATCTCCTGACGCATGTGGCTTCATCCTGGCCTGGCCGCCAGGGGGAGCCACTGGTTTCGCTCCTCCTGAAGGGAGCTCTGGACCCTCGGCCCCCACAGGGAAGGATCCAGCTCCTGTACATATATTTTATTGCATGCACTGTGACCTTGGGGGGAGGCTAGGAGGGGGATTGCACCCCCAGCACCTCCCTGCGATCTGGCTGGCTTGGATCTCATTTTTAACCCCTTCCTGTCCTGCCTGTCCCATAGATAATGGCCTGTGTGCTGCTCTCATGGCCCTGGTGCACTATCTTCCTGTAAATTCCTTCCACTGGATCCCTCCTACCTGCAGCGTGTGTTTCTCGTTCTGTAGCGTTTGTAAATAATAAAACAATGGAATGGAGACAGCCCTTGGCTCACATGGAATACAGGAAGGGGACCTGGAACCCAGGCAGGCTCCTTTCCTATAGACAGGTTCCATTCTGAGCCTCAGCAAGGGGGATGGGGGATGGGGTAGGAACAGTAGGCTAAACTGGTCTAGCCCTGGACCTCTTGCCAATGTATGTCTTGCTTTAGTGCCCAGAAGGCAACTTCAGGAAAGCCACCACTTTTTTCTGGCTTTGCTATCCCTGTGTGGACTACAATTCCCAGCATCCCTAGCACAGCCTGTCAGTGGCCTTTGTGTACGTGTGCCGCAGTGCCTACTGGGAAATGTAGTTAAAGTGTTTCTCGGCACGAGACCTTATCCTAGCACGAGATATCACAGACTGGAGCTGTGCTTGCCCCTCAACTTTTGAGTCTTGGAGACTTTTTCAGACTATAAACCAAGGAGAACTCTAGGCTTTAGCCCTCTGCTGCGGACTCTCGAGGTTATTTAGTGTCTGGCTATAAGCTCAGGCAACAACCCTGCCCTTGTCCTCCAGTTCACTGTGCAAGGGTAGTCCTCCAAGTAAAGAAAACAGAGGGGTCACCTTCCAGAAAGTCTGGGGCTCTAGGGTTTAACCAGGGATCCTAGACTTGGTACGAGGATCCAGATCCCACCCCTGCCCCCAGCAGGGCTCCCCCCTCCGTGGGAACGGAGACCAGCTGGCCGGAAGCGCCAAACTGCATCTCTGTCTTAGCTGTAGGGATCAATCAGGCCGAGGAGTTAATTATGTAATGAGGGGGCAGGGGGTCGGGACTAGTGAAGTCTTGAGGGAGAGGGGAGGGTACCCAGGTATCCGGCCCCCTCTTGGACCCCTTCGAGGCCCCAGGGGTCTCCATTCCAACCCACCTCCAGGGCCCCAGGGAGGGGTGGGGCTGTGATCTCTGGTTTGGAAGGGGCTGTGCTGTAAGCTATAAAGGGGGCATCTCTTAGACCCTGGACTCTAGCAACGGGACACAAGGCCAGAAGAAGCTACAACATGTACCATCCACGAGAGTTGTACCCCTCCCTGGGGACTGGCTACCGTCTGGGACACCCCCAGCCTGGGGCAGACTCTAGCTTCCCACCTGCCCTGGCAGAGGGCTACCGCTACCCTGGTGAGCGGTTGGATTGGCTCTGGGCAGGGGGCAGGAGATTGGGAATATGTGGCCCTCCCCTGGATCCTTATTCTTCCCACATCTCCAGATTTGGACACCTCTAAACTGGATTGCTTCCTCTCTGGGATTGAGACAGCACCCCATACTCTGTCTGCACCCCCTCCTTTGCCCCTTCTGCCACCTTCTCTGGGTCCTGAGACAGCACCGCCACCTCCAGAGGCTCTTCACTCGCTTCCTGGGGTCAGCCTGAGCCTGGAGAACCAGGAGCTGTGGAAGGAGTTCAGCGCTGTGGGGACAGAGATGATTATCACCAAGGCTGGCAGGTGAGGGATGGCCAAGTCAGTTTCTAGAAAAGATGGAATTCCTGGGGACAGAGCTATGTTCTCCTAGGGCTAGTACAGCCCAGAGAGTATGACCTGACACTGTCTGTGACACTGGGTGGACAGGAGTTACACTGTATCCAGGTTCAGGGATCAGTCTGGAGTCTGGCTGGGTTTGGGAGCCATTCTATTAAGGGTCAGAGAGTTCTATCTGGGCTTGGGGCAAGGAAATCTGGATGGGTTATAGGTTGGCATGTGGCCTAACTCAGAAACAGCCTATGAGAAGGGGCAAGGGCCAGTGTCAGGAAAGTCTGTCTAGGATCAGGGTCTGTATGTGGCTATGTCCCAGCCCACCCTAGAGGAAGCATTGGCAAGATCTCTAAGGCCTGAACCCTAGATAAATCCTGTCCCCAGGGCCCAGCACCTATATTTCTGAAGAAAGATGGCCTTAGCAGCCACAGGGATCAGTGCTGTACCTAGGTGAGGTCAAGAGGCTCCTCGGGCTTCAGGAAGAAGGGTAGTCACCTTTGTCTCTGTAGAGTTTGCGGGGACAGGGGTCAGGAGCCTGGGTAGGAAGTGGCAGGATTGAGACAGGATTGTGCCATGTTGTAACTAGACTGAGGGGGCAGGGCAAGGGGAGGTGAGCCTGCTGGGGCCTGTTAGAGCCCCTAACCTGCCTGTTCCGTTCCCCATCTGTAAGATGGAACAAGCCTTCCAGCTCCTAGACTCTGCACTTGAGAACCCAGTTACACCTCCCTTGTGGTTACCGTCCAAAATTGAGGTGCCTACTGCTGGTTCTTTGCTGGTGCTGGGCTCACCTCTTGGAGTGGATAGCTCCAGGCCTCTTCCTCCCTCCCTCCCTCCCCGTGCAGACGCATGTTCCCTGCTTGCCGAGTGTCAGTCACTGGCCTGGATCCGGAGGCCCGCTACTTGTTCCTTCTGGATGTGGTTCCAGTAGATGGGGCCCGATACAGATGGCAGGGGCAGCACTGGGAGCCTAGTGGCAAGGCTGAGCCCCGCTTGCCTGACCGTGTCTACATTCACCCTGACTCCCCTGCCACGGGTGCCCACTGGATGCGACAGCCAGTATCCTTCCATCGTGTTAAGCTCACCAACAGCACGCTGGACCCCCATGGCCACGTGAGGCCCAGGCTGGGATTCCTTGACAGGGTTTTAGGGTGGTACTGGGTGGAAGGCTAGGGCTGGAGCCCAGGCCAGGGAATCACCCCTTTCTTCCTTCCCAGCTGATCTTGCATTCCATGCACAAGTACCAGCCTCGAATCCACCTGGTGAGGGCCACCCAGCTTTGCAGCCAACACTGGGGGGGTGTGGCTTCCTTCCGATTTCCTGAGACCACATTCATCTCAGTGACAGCCTACCAGAACCCTAGGGTGAGTGACCTTGCTTGAGGGAGGGGCTGTGCCCTGCCCAGGCGACAGGGGCCTTGACCTAGATGTGTGTTCTCAGATCACACAGCTGAAGATCGCAGCCAATCCCTTTGCCAAAGGTTTCCGAGAGAATGGCAGGAACTGTAAGAGGTGGGCATCGTTCATTCAATGGGTGTTTACTAATTGCTTACTGTGTGCCAGGCACTGTGCCAGGGCCCCAGGAACATGATGGTAAGTAAAAACATTTGTCCACTCTTGATTCAACAGATTGTCAGTCCTCATTCAGTTGATACAATAGTGGGCAGAGCAGGCAAAAGCAAGAGAAGCTTGCAAAGTTCTAGTGAGCAGAGAGCCTGGGAAGGATAGGAAGGACTGGAGGGAAATGGCAGGAGAAAGCACCCGAGGACATCTGAGAAAAGACCTGAAGTAAGCGGAAGGAGCGTGTGGGTGCATAGCACAGCGAGGAAGAAGGGTGGCAGGCAACTCGGGTACATGGTCCATCGGAAGCCAGACACTGCTTACCAATCCAAGGCTTGGGTGTGGGCTCTGGATACAGCCCTGGGAGAGCTCCCAGTCTCTCAAAGTGACTGGTTCACTGGCTCAGATGTAGACAGTGACAAGTCATGAGGGAGGGAGGTGTGTGACGCTGTCTCCAGAAAGGTGTGCTGAGGCAGAGAACCTGGCCCTTGCAACTGGGAAGGTGTGATTTCTCAGATCTTAATACCCAAGGAGGAAGGCATGGAAAAACCACGTCGGAGTCAGAGAGAAACCTCAGCTCTGCTGCTTTTTAGTGGTTTTATTCTCTGGCTTTCAGTTCCTTATCTGTAAAATGGGTATAATATAGCACCTGCTCAACAGGGTGCCTGGGAGGGTGAAATGCCTGGCACCTGGTAAGTACTATTAGTGCCATCATCATCATCATCATCATCATCACCATCATCATTCCCCAGGGAGCGAGATGCCCGTGTGAAGAGGAAACTTCAGGGCCCAGAGCCAGTGGCCACAGAGGCCTGTGGGAGTGCGGGTGAGTACGGTCCTGATGGCGATGGGGCTGAACTTGAGACATTGAGCCCTTGCTAGCCAACCTGTGCCTTTTGTCTCCTCAGATACACCAGGGGGGCCCTGCGACTCCACCCTGGGTGGAGACATTCGAGACTCAGATCCAGAGCAGGCCCCAGTACCCCGGGAAGCTGCTTCTACCCCAGCCCCTCTGTGTGGTGGCCCCAGTGCTGAGGCCTACCTCCTGCACCCTGCAGCTTTCCACGGGGTCCCCAGTCACCTACCAGCCAGGTAAGGTGCACAGAGCAGAGGGCTGGGTGCTGCAGGAGGGGGCGTGACCCTCCTCTTCTGATGCTTCTCTCCTGACTTCAGGAACCCCAGCTTTGCTGAGGCTCCAGACCCTGGGCGCCCAGCCCCCTACTCAGCTGCATTCCTGGAGCTACAGCCTGGACCAGGGGGCTCTGCCTATCACACAGCTCCGTCTGTAACACCCTTTGCCCCACACCTCATTCAAGGGGGCCCCTTCCCTCTACCATACCCAGGACCTGGAGGTTATCTGGACATGGGATCCAAGCCAATGTACTGAGCCATGATGTACGCCAAGACGGGGCCTATGCCATGTCCCCTTTAATATCTCCAGCCCCCTCCCCCCATATGCCATGTCCCCTTTAATATCTCCAGCCCCCTCCCCCCAGCCTGGTAGCACCCTCATTCAAGTGCTGCCCCCTCCCCCCCCACCAAATGGCTGCCTTGGGCCTCTCCCCCTACCCTAGTTCACACCTTGATCTCACCCCACCCCCCTCTGGCTTCAAAGCTCAGGCAAGGCTGCTCAGAATCCAGCTGGGGCCAACTTCCCCGCCTCAGCTCTCACCTCAGTGTGAATGGAGGGAGACTTTGCCTGGCCAAATGGGGGCCCCAGCCCAGTGCCCCCACCTCCCAGGGGCCTCATCACTGGTGTAAGCCACACCAGTTTGTTCTCAGGATCAGAGTATTTTTGTTAATAAAACTCAAAAGACATTAGTGCTCAGGAAACGTTGGGCTAATGGGTGGGGCTGGGGAGCCACAGCTTTAAGGGCAGGCCCAAGCAGTTTCCAGATGCTTGCCCCTGTGGATGGGAAGCAGTCTGCTCTGGGCGTGTTCCCCTTCAGGAGGATGGGCGAGCTTCTTCACAATGGTTGT